ATCTCAGCAAGTTTTTAAAAAGAGAGGCTGTGGAAGACTTACCCATATACCCTACTGTTCCTACTCTTCCACGGATTGATTCACCCTCGGGGATTTTAACAGCCAGACCCAAATCAGATATTCTAATATGGCCTGGAAGGAAAAAAGAAACAAAACAACACAAAGCAGATATAATAACCTGACCCAAATTAGTCCAAAACCCACAACTGTGGTCATTGCTGAAATACTTCTGCAATTTACTGCTCAGACATTTTAAGGAAAGAGTGTTCTGAATCACTGAATTGGAGCAGTTTCATTGATATGGAAAAGAGGAATTATTAAGGGCACTACAACACAGTGAAATAAATGTTAACAGTGAGGCTGTGGACTGCAGTGGATTGTATTAGGTATTTTAAAACCCATGAAAAAAGGCAGAGAGAAGCATGCTGTGGGGAAGTATCTTGAACTGATCACAGAGGATGGATGGGCTGACACAATTCTGTAACTCTGATGGCTGAAGAGGCTACATCTGGTCTGCAAGTCAGCATGAGATTTGATTATCACTGCCTTCAGAACAAATGGGTACCTGGGTTTGCATAAAGCCAGACTGGGCTCAGCAGAGGATGAAAGTACTTTCAGAAACGGAGAGGGAAGCACAGCTTTAGAAATTAGAGCTCCCTTTGTGTTGCATCAGCCTTGCAACAAGGATGGAAAAACAGCAAGGGAAGGCAGAGGGCCCCAGCAACGCCGAGCTCTCGAGAACAGCCCCTGCTGAGGGCACGGCTGCTTCCTTCCATCTGTGCACCGAGCTCCAGCAGCTCACCCACCCCAAGACAGGAATTCCAGTCTAGGCTCAGCCCCTTAATCACTGCAGAGCATTGTTTGCCTTTGTGCAATATATATCCAAAAACTAACTTAATCTACTTTACTGTGAAAGCGCCTCTGTAAACCTCTGAGACTTACCATAATCATCCAGCAGGATATTTTCTGGCTTCAGATCTCTGGAAATGAAAGATAGCAGTTATGGGTAGGAAGCTGGTTTTGATAACAGAACCATACAACTGCATGAGGGCATTTATTACTTGTAATAAACCAGTTGAGTGTCAACTCAAACAGCAAGGAACTCCTGAAACCAATACAACCTTTTACAACTCACTTCACAGATAGACTGAAACCATATGTCTTTTTCTAAACTGGAGTTGCAATTTTTCACTAAGCCAAGCTTTTAGTTCCTAATCTACCCTATAATGGACTCATCCATCTAGTCCTGTAAGCTCTGTAAATGAACCCCTATAGTCCTGTGTGTCGTAAAATCTCTGTAATATTTTCTGTTATAAAAACTTATGGTAAAAAAAAAAAATTAAAAAAATTTAGGTTTTAAAACAGTTTATTTACATGTGAGAATGGAAATAGCAATCTGTTGGGTTCAAATTTTCTATGTCTAGCATCTGAGTCAGACCAAATATGTGAATGTGTGTCCATGCACTTGCACACATGTGTAGTAATTTTGTTGAGTTTGGAAAATGCAGGGCAGAGGGGGGAATGCTGTGCCCAGATTAAGATTCTTCTTACAAACATTTGTGAAACTCTAGTGTCTGTGTAGTTTGGAGCAATGCCATGAAAATTGGCAAGGTGGTCAGTCTGATGTCAAAGATGTGCCTTTTATTGTTCCTGAGAAAAAGAAAAAAAATCCCCAAATCTGTGCAAGGTATAAACTTCAGAAGTAAATAATCTCAGTTTTCATATATTTAACAGAGCCTTGGCAGATCATTCTTCTGAAAGGTTTGTCTGCACAAAACTTGCTCCACCAGCTGCTGCTTTGAGATGCTTCCCAGCCCAGCCACGCTGTCCCCTCCTTGACCAAGGCTGTTTTCCAAACCTTTCCAAACCTTTCCAAACCTTTCCACTCTGCAGCTGCTGCCATTCCCGGGCTGCTGTTGAGGTGGGAGCAGGCAGGATCCTTCCCATGCTGCCTGTGCAGAGTGGGAATGAAGCCAGCCCGGGAGATGGGAGCAGAGGTGTCCGAGGGGAGAGATGGCCATGCTGGGCAGGGAGTGTCCCAGAAGTGTCCCAGGACTGGGCTGTGCTGGCTCAGGAGCCTGGATGAGGCACCAGCAGCTGGGTGAGGCAGGGAAAACAGCTTTGCTTCAATTCACCACATCATGCCCTGGCTTTTATCTAGAGACAGTGCTTAGCCTGGTGCAAATCCAAGCACTGCTTGGCCTCTTCTTTTTTTAAGGTCTCCTTGCATCTGTGAACCAGCTTGGTTCTGTTAACTTCCCAGCAAGAGGCATTTCTGTGCAAAGAGCAAAGAGAGGCTGTGTACAAGAGAAACCCTTGCACCAGGGACCAGGGCAGAGCACAGAGGCTGTGCAGGAGCCCACCCCACCTCTTAAGCTGGACCACTCCAGTATCATGAATTTTCCTGTGCATGGAGAGGGATATTTTATAGTTTTGACAATGCCAAGACTGAAATTTTGAAACTTGCCTTGTTTTTATTTATGATTTCAAGCAAAACACAGCGTGCTGTGAGAAATCTCTTCTTGCTTCAGACCTTCCTGACCTCCAAGATAAACCTCACTCAGTGCCCAGAGGTACTAAGCCTACTTTTCAAATAAACAATGCTGAAATATGTGAAGGGCAGTTGAATACTGAGGAGAAGCAGTGATTTTGTTTAACATACCACTGTGGGTTTTCCCTGCCTACCAGCAGAAGGTTTCCAATGCTGGAGCAGCACGGTCAAGTGCATCTTCTATTTATTTTTGAAAATGTTTTCTAAATCCTGTAAGAATCATTTCCTTGAAGAACTCAGCCTTCATCAGTTCATCTTCTGCTCAGCAGTTATTAGTCCCACTTAAAACTGTAACTGGGGGCCAATGATAAGAATCTTACATGCAATTTGGGAAATGTTGTCTTTGAATGAGAAAACGAGACAACACAAGGACTCTGAGAACACCAGCTCAGTCCTTACAGTCCACTGTGTTTCAGGGCAATTAGAGGAAGCTTTCCTCCCCTCTCAGACATCAGTTGTCATTCCTGTTTTCAGACTTCTGGCTCCTCAGGATCAAGGCTGGCTTCCTTTGCATGGCCAGAACGTCCAAGGGGTCATGACTGAAATGTCCAGGAGGAATTAAACTCCCTGGTGGATACACTGACACGTAAAGCTACTTCCCAAAGGCTCAGCTTCCCATTTGTAAAGTAGCCTTGCCCAAACATACTGAAACATCAACTGCTGGCACTGTGCCCATGCTCAAAAGGCAATTGTTTGGCTGTGCAGGACAGCCTAAACAACTCAATTAATCACTGTGGACAAGGCTTTACCATGTATTTGTGCAATGCCTGGGACAATGTGGACTTGAAAGCTGACTGGAGCTTCCAGGCATGGCTATTGTATGAATTTTAAAAAATTACATACGTTATAAATATTTCTATAAAACAAGTTATATATAAACAAACATATAAAACATAAAATAAACATATATATACATAATATAAATAATGTAACATAAAAATATAATATATACATAAATAATCTGAGGAGAACCAGCAGCTTTTTACATTTGCTTTCCTTGAACAACCAGCCCATTGACCTTTACTAACACGAGGCAGTTGAGAAAAGCTACACAAGTGCCATGTTTGACAAGGGAATTCTGAATGAGATAAATCTGACTCTGAGCCTGGTTGTTCTCCCGGGTCACGTCTGCAGCGTGCGTCAGCAGCAGCCCAGGAGATGGGCATGCATTTTCCAACTCTGTGATTTACTCAGGAGCATTTTGTTTATAGAAAATGAAATTAAGTCTGAAGAATAAGTGTTTTGTGATGAATTATTCGCCTTGAGAAGGCGGTAGCATTTAGCTGCTGTATTTTATTGACCTATATAGCACTTCTCACGGGTCCCACACCGCGCTGCGCTATTACAAATGAGGAGTCTCTGCAGAGGCTCCTGAAATACTGCTAGAAAATATCACCTACAAGGATGTGGTATCATTCATCACCAAAATGAATGTGCCATCTGAGGTGTAAAGTAGCAGCTCTTTTAAGAGTAGCATGAAAACTCCTGCTTAAGGAAGTAGGTGCCGTTTCTCTCAGAGCCACGCACAATTTTAGGTGGCCAGATCTGATTTGTTCTATTAGAAAATGGCATTAGTAAGGCATTTTACCAGCCATGTTATGAATGCATCAGTCAATTTTTTTCAATAGAATATGATTGTGAAACACTATACTACCTCCTAAAATGTTTGAAAATGTGGTAGGAGGTTTTCTAAGGGAAAAGGAAGCCAGACACTTCACTTACAATTTGATTTTTCAATTGACATTAAACACTTATTACCATTTTGTTCCTTGGGGAAAGAAAAAACCTCCTTCTTGGGTGAGCACCAACTAAATCAGCATGTTATCTGTCTGCCCTCTGTGTGCCAGCTAGCAAGATGCAAGGCAACCAAGTGTCACTTTGTTAGAGATCTCCAAGGAACAGCAATATTGCAATTTCTACACATACAAGCACATGCACACTATGTATTACACACAGGCATATCAAATGATTTAAAGCATGGCTTGGCTTTTAAAAATAGCATCTTATTGTCTATTAATCATTGTCCTTGGAAGTTCTTTCATCAATTTACAGGCCCTCTTCTGCTGTGAATGCCAGCAACGATGATTTCACAAGCGGGGATGATGAAGACAAACATGAACCGTTGTTTACAACTACAGTGGCTGCTGATTAAAAAAAATAAATCCTCGTGGAGTCACAAGAACGCTGTCTGCAATCTGCTTGCTTATCCAGCCTGCCCTGGAAAAGTGCTTGTGTAGAGCTGCAAGCCAAACTGGAAGCTGAGAACTTGGGATGTGCCCTGGTGGAAGCGGCGCCGGGCAGCGCCGTGCCCGCTGGCTGCACCCATGGATGGTGGGATGCTGCCAGCAGGATGCCTCTGTTGTGTGGCTGGGAATGGGCCCCCTTCCATGGCTGGCACGCCAGGACCACCATGATCTTATCCAGCTAATCACACTCACACCAGTGGAAATGCATGCTCCCTGTCTCAGACACCCCCTTGGGATCGCACGCCCTCTGCAACAGAAGTTTTGCCACATCTGATGTGCTGCAGCTCCTCATGCAATATAACCTAACTAATTGAAATAGAGGCTTGGATGGAATGATCTCCATTTCATCCCAACTAGGAACTCGATTTCTCAGTGAAATCCCTTTAAAGGAACTTCCATCATTTTCTTATGTCACCCAGTGCACGCTGAGGTAGGGTTTGGGGAGCTTTGTGCTAGTTCTGGATAATTTAGACAGGATGTATTTAGGGAAGCAACTGCTTCCTTCCATGATTACTGTATCATGTTGTATTTATACAGGGCTCTGCGAAATTTCAGCCAAAGCATCTCAGCTGTACAGCACACAATAACAAGGGAGGAAGCAGGTAATTCTTTTCCTACCCAGAAAAGACATCCTGAGACTCTAGAGAGTGCTTACCTGTACACAGTATTTTCTCTGTGTAGGTCTTCCAAGCCACAGAGAATCTCTGCTGCATAAAACAAAGCTCTTTCCTCCTCGAAGCCTGGGTTTCCCATGTTGTAGATATGAAACTTCAGGTCACCTCCGTTCATTATGGTCAGAACTAAACACAGTGCATCCTTTGTTTCATAGGCATAGGCTAAATTGACCTAGAAAAACATTTGCAGCACAGTAGTGACAGCTCAGATGGCTGCTAAGAAGGAAGTGCTAGCTTTTCATTAAAGATTTTCTCCAGAAAAAGAAAAAAAAATACATTGACTAAATTTGGTATGGGCTTTCTTACAATGGCAAACATATATTTTAAAAGTACAGAAAAATCAGATGTTAGGATTCTACAGATCAATTTGTGGAATCCAGCCTATTTATCACCAGAAACCCTCAAGGCTCAGATGGCTTCAGAGGCTGGACAAGCATACTAATTCCAGGCATATTTTCCCATGTATGAGAAATCTTAGGAATCAAGGGAATCTACACCTCCTGCTGCACCATTTTGCATCTCAGTGAGTTCTCTGGAAGGCCCAGATATCCCATTCCTGGGGTGATCAAACGGACCATCACAGAGATGTGAAGGTCAGTATCATCCCTGGGCGGCTCTGGTGGGTGCCCAAGGAAAAATCAGACCAGCTAAAACCCACCCATCACTTTTAAATATGTGCCACCCTCTGGCAGAAGCAAATAAACATGTGAGCAAACACCTTACATGTGTTGTATACACAGTGTTTCCTGAAATAAGTATAAAGAACATGGCAGATGGCAGATGCTGAGATAACACTTCTCTCTTTTTTTTTTTTTTTTTTTTTTTTTTTTTTTTTTTAAATTTTTTTTTATTAAATCTAAGGCAAGTTTTAAAGGAGGCACACGAGCTGGTGTGACTCAGGAGAGCCCTGCATCAGGCTGACCAGCTCCACCTCATTGCTTAGATGTTTCTGCAAGCCAATCTCATCTGATCTATTTGGGTTGAATCTCCTTCAGTCTCCTCCAAGCACCTCTCTCCCAGACCCTGGGAATTCAGGTAACGACTCTGGATCAAACAGCTCATCCTGGAGCAGCTGTGATGCAAGCCAAGGCTGTAAAACACGTCATGCTTTACAGGCACAGGCCCCTTGACCGCTGAATTTCTCACGGACCAGAGACTAAAGTGAGACTCGGCAGAGGTACCTGGAGCAGGGCTAAGGTGCAAAACAAAGGGATTCAGCTTTTCCAGGAGCAGGAGATGGAGGAGGCACCGGATTCAACCAGAACAGCGCCCAGCAGGTGAGCGGGGAACCACGGAGTTCAATACTCACTACAAACTGACTATTGACTTTTTCTAAAATCTGCTTCTCATTGAGTGCCATGGATTCGCCTTTCCTCTTCTTTATCCTCTTCTTCTCTAATCTCTTGCAGGCGTACATCTTCCCCGTGGCTCGCACTTGGCAGGCGCAGACCTGCGAATTGAGCACAACAATTGCCGGGTAATTCGAAGCAAGCGCTGCCGTGTCTGGGCTGCGCTTTACTCCTCAGCCTCTCCTCGGGTTTAGTCCTTTTAAGGCGAGAGACGGCGGCTTAGCGAGCCAGGCTTAGGCGGGGCAGCGGGGGGACTGACTACTGTTTCCAAACCTGCTGTGGAATATTGGTTTAATTACTGCGCTTTCCTCCGCCCGCTTCCTCTCCCACCTCCTTTTGTCTTTAGTGCGGATTGTGATCTCTGAGCCCGCACCTCCCCTGCCTCTGCTGCCACTTCCAGACACCACGAAAATACAAACGCGGGTGTGACCCCCCAATTCCACTGCGGATGCAACAGCTGAACGCAAAATAACTCTCAGAAGTGTCCTTTAGAGATTACAGGGTCGTGAGGGGTTAAGTAGAACTGTCAGCAATTAATGAAAATCAGCCTCTGTCACATGAGGCTCCTGTACCTGCACTTTCAAAAAGTAAAAAACACACTTTACAGAAAGTTTCAGAATTACTCACCTCCCCAAAGCCGCCTTTCCCCAGTACCCTGTACTGCCGAAATGTGTTTTTTGTTACTGGTTGCCTGGAAGAAAAGGAAATAAATAAATAAATAACCCCCCCACCACACTATGTTTAATGCACTCTCAGTGATTTATTTATTTCAGAGCATACTTTTGAGAAGCAAAATAGATAAATATTATATAATCCCATTATTCCAAGGTAATTGTATTATATAATATAATACATAATTATGTAATTACATTACTTCAATACTATGTATGGCTTGAACTTTTCAATTCCAACATATTAAGCTGTAATAAAATACAACACATTAGTGAGTCATCAGTATAATTTCTGCTAACATCTTAGGACCAAGGAGGGTTCTGAATCTCCATTATACAGCTTTGGCCTTTGATAAGCCAAGAGGAAGCCTGAGATCTTCCAGTAAGATATTAATTCCCATGACATATAGGATGGGCTAACACATTGCCTTGCTTGGCCAGCAAGGTGAGAAAAAGAGACCCAAAATTCAAACCACCAGAAAATACTCCTCTTGTGTTAAACAAGACATGCAACTTTTATGAATCAAAGGCAGAAACAATCCTGAGAGCAGGACAGGTGGATTTATGTGACATTTACAGGCTGGGAGAGCAGGAGGACAAGATCCAAGCCAGCCCATTCCCTCTGGGCTACCTCTTCCTGGGGGAGCATCACGGGCAAGAAGAGAGCAAGAGCTAAATTAAGTTTAAATAAGTCTGTCCCTGAGGGCAGAGTGCTCCCTATCACTTGACATAATCCCCACACAATCTCCCAGGCTTCCCACAAAATCTGCTCCACCAGAATGGCTCCAACTCTACATCCAACTTTTACTTTGCCACTGTAAAAGTTTTATAACATGACAGAAGAAGAATTCTAGCCTCAGCAAGATCCCATTTTGTTTCCAGCACCAGGGTTTTCCAAGGATCCCAGCGGTGGATGTGAATATTCCTGCTATCCTTGCTCCCCTCTGGCTGGCAGCCAGCCTGCAGAGGGAGCACAGTAACGTGGCTGTTCCCACCACAGGCATGATGAGGTTGATGACAATGAAGAATAAATGCTGAAGTAAAATCCTTTTATTAATGCCCATTATTGTTATCCAAAGTGGAAGAAGAATAGTATGCAGACAGTAAAAAGTAGAAGAGGAAAAGATGCTATTTTCAGTATTCCACGAGCAAATGCTTTTGGGGTTAAAAGCAACAATTAGTAGTGATAACTACATGTTCAGCAATGTCCCCGGAATAAATGGACTTTCTGACTGCTCCTTTGGAGCCAGCAGGCTGTCAGAAGGAGCTGTTGGTCACTCCATACTGCTAACATCTCTTTGCTAATCTTAAAAACCATTCTCCCAGCTTCTTAAGCCAGGCACATCCAATAGCTTGTCGCTCTTGTTGGGGGAATGGAAAAAAAAAATCCTCAAAGCATTGCAGAAAATTCCTTATCCCTAATGTGAAAACAGATAGGAAATAGCCTGGCTAGAGATGAATCACCCCATGTTTTTTAATTGAAATAGAAGAGTAAATGCTGGGCTCAGTGAAGATGGCATGTGGAGCATGTCTTGGCATGAAATGGCTCTTCCCTCTGCCCACCCCTCTGGAGCAGCAGCTTTGCAGCTTTCCAGGGAGAGGAACTGGCACAGCTCCTTTGATCTGGAGGCGTCCTGCTGACACTCACAGCTCCTGGATCTGCCGTAATTAATTCCATTTGTGGAAAATGGGGCTTCTCTCAGCCCAAGGTCACTGTCACCCAGCAGTGACCGTCTGCTGCAGCTCTCCCTGACAAGGGGAAGGCACAAGCCCCTTTCCTTGCAAATTAATACCCACTAAGGCTGCCTGGTTATTAAATGTGCTCAGGAATGTCCAGCCAATAAATACAGTGAGAGGAGCTACATGCCACATTTTTTCTCTGTTTTAGAGTGATTTAATAACAGTGACAACTGGTCCAGACAAAAAGTCACCACATTCAGAGGGTAGCTAAACACAGAGACAGCTGAAGTTGTTGAATGTACATTAATCATACCCAATATGTTTAATGTACCTAAGGCCATTACATGGTTGAACACTTGAGCTGTAGAAGCAAACATTATCTCAACATTCAGATTTTGAGCATATTCTACAGACTTTACATGGAATAAAAAGAAATATTTTTATTTATTTTTATTAAAAAAAAAATAAAATCTTGTGACACTTACCTTTCCAACCACTTCCACTGGAGAAACCTGTCGAAGTACATGCTGTTTAGGTACTCTTGGAATGGTTCCCCACTGAGGTGGTCAAGGACAGATCTATCTCAGATGAAAAGGATATATAAGCATTTTATAATCCTGAACTTTGAGCAAAATAGAAACAAAACAAGAGGAGAAAAATCCAGACTTCTTTTACATTAGGATTATATTATTTATACTTTATTTTATACTTTATTTTGCTCATTGTTTCAATACAGAGATGAAATGATGTGCTTGATATATTTCATAACAGGAGGCCTCATACAAGCTGAATACTGGTGACATTTGCTGAAAATTATCAGGGAACTCCCACTGGCTTTAGAGGGCTTTTACAGAGGTTGTTAGCCACCAGACAGTGAATGCTTTTGCTTCTGTTAGTAAACTGAAACAACATCCTCAGGAACTGAGCTCCTAAACTTTGAGGGATGTTTACATCTGGGTGGAAAATTTCTGGCTGGAGCCTATTTCTATCAAAGAGAGACCATCAGAGGCGCCATTTTGAGCAAAAAGACCAGTTTCAATTCCTGCTATATAGAAGAATTAGTACATGTGACTAAAGTCAAAGGGGATTTCCTAACAGCTGTGTGCTTTGTAGAGTAAAACTGAGGAAAGAAAAGTCTGAACAAGGATGTGGATTTGCTTTTGGATCAAGAAAAGAATTTTGGGGCTCATGCAGTGGTTGCAGTCTTTCGCATAATGGAAGGAATAAAGGAGAAAAAAGTCAGACAGCAAATGTGAGAAGAAATCTGTTGCTTGTGGCTGGCAGCAAACAGCCAGAGAGCATCAGGCATCCCATCTGAAAGGCCAAAGGTTTGGAACTAAGAAAACATGGGCTGAGCTGGGAGCTGTCTAAAATGAAGGTGGTCGTGTTGTTTAACAGCTCCTGGTGTTGGTTCTTGCTTTGCTTACTGGGGCTCCTGCACCCACCTCTGCTGGCAGCATTGGCAGGACAGAATTGGGTTTGGGTGAAAAGTGCCCAAAGCAATGAGCATTTCTGTCTGGGTGTACACAGACTCGTTTGTGTCCATGTCTGAGGGTGTACAGACACATTTCCAGATCTTGCTGGAAGGAGGAAATCCTCTCTGAATGACTGCTCTAGTCTGGGGATGGATAGTCCATGTCTTACCCTGGGGCAGTTCTCTGAGCAAACAAGTCACCATCAGTAATGTGTCTCTCCTCAGTTTAGTTCCCTCCTGATCATAACCTAGCATTTACTTTTTTTTTTTTTTTTTTTTTTTTTTTTTTTTTTTTTTTTGTAACTCTTGCACCATCAGTTTGGAGAAGGCAGGTAATTGCACATGTTCAGTATGCACAAGTCTAATTGTTCCTGTCTTCATTAGCTTTGACTGGACACAGATCATAGCAGTTTCCCTTAATGGATTAAAGATTACAAAATAACATTAGAAGTAAGTTCTTAATTTGCTTTAACAAATGCCCAAATTCAACATCAGAATTCTAGGTGAAGCTGGAGGAGGGCAGGAGCAGGCAGTCAAAATGTTAAAGGTAAAAGCAGAAGTTAACTTATGCATATATTTTTCTTGCAGACTGCTTTTCATCTGTGAAGATGTGAATGAAACTCATCCCATCCCTGTTCCTCCAGGACAGCAGCCTTCATATTTGCATGTATGTCTCCCCTTTTCTGGTCTGACTGTGAACCCTTCCAAAATTAACATCATTCAGGACCAGTAAATACCAACAGCAAGTTCTTAAAACTTCCTTTTGACCTCATTTTATTCCATGTGAAACGATCAGCATATTTATTAACAAGGTCCCAAACCTGGCTCACTCCTGAGTTTCAGCTGGGATGAAGGAAGGAGCCTGCATTAAGTGGTGTCCAATGCTCGCCCTTTCCATTCAGTTAATTAAAAGCTGCACGTATTTTAAAAGAACAATAGCTGCCTTTCAGCAGTTGTTTGCTTTTTAGTTCCCCTCTTTGGCAACAACAAAGTGCATTTTAGAGGGAACTGTCAGCTTTCAAACCGATTTGAGAGCTGGAAACAGGCACCAGGGGGGTTTGTGTGGAGCACAGCTCTGCCTTTGTCACTGGGACTGGCACCCACAACTGGTGCGAGTCACAGAGCATCTCTACAGGACACCAGGCCAGTGCAAGGAAACTGCCTGTGCCATAAGAGAGGGCCAGAAATAACCCACAGCTCCTACCAACGCAAAGAATAACTGGAACCAGAAAAGGTCAATGAAATGAGTCAAAACAATGAATGACAGCGGAGCAAATTTTACAAATCCCCATTACATCACCCAGGGAAAACAAGCCGTGCTCAGCCAGGAACCACATGGGCCCGCGTGCCATGATCCCTCCTTTTCATATTTTTATTGGTTTATGATCTCCTGGTGTGGACGGGCTCGGGGCAGGGTTTGCAAATGCAGATTGCATACCTGGAGCTTTAGCACATAATGGCACAAATCGCTGCAGAAACTGATAAGCCTTTTCCCAGACAAAGGGTGGAATAATGCACGTTCGTTTGAGCAGCACAGGCAGACAGAAAGCATAAAAAACCCCGCCGTTCTCCTGGTGAAGATTTTCTGGAAAAGCCATGCGGAGCAAGTTTGCACATTCCTCTGTCTAAATGGACTGTATAGCCACTTAATTTTTATTCACTTTGAAACAGAGATGTTTTCTTTGGATACATTATCATTGTAGCTCTTTTCACACAGCATGAAATCCACGGCTGGTTTGCTTGGCTAGGACACTCTGTCAAATACCTGAAACAGTAAGTGCCTGTGTGCAGCGTATATAATGGCATGGAAATATTTATTATATTAGATGAAATGACTTCACCGCTGGTCAGCTCTGCCTCTAGGATTGTGAGCAAAGATACCTGCCTCAGGTTCAGACTGAAATTTCTCTCTCTACCTGGCACATTCCCGACAAGCTGAGCCGTGATTTTCGGGTGTCGTGTTATACTTACTTTGTGCAGGGAGAGAACAGCTCTTTGCAGGGGCTGTTTTCGAGTTTCTCCTCTGTCTGCTGGATAAGTTCTTGACTGACTTCGGGAACATAGGCTGGAGACTGGGGAGAGAAGAGAGGGGCACATTAACTCTCTGACGAGGTGCAGGTTCTCCCCTCTCAACGTGTGAGAGGCACATTCATTATTTATGCCCCTGAGCTGCTTCCATTCAGTTCCAGCGGTTGTGCAAAAGCAAAGGAGCTTTACGTCAAAGAGCAGTAAAATAGGATACCGTGGCAACTCGCTCCACATTCCACTCTATCCTCACATTGCTTTTCTGCCTTCTCCTGTACCTTCACCTCCTTGCCCAGCCTCATGAATATGCAGGACCCACTCCTTGCCAATTCTTTGAACTGCTCCCTTGCATCCCATGAAAAATGTGCTGGCCTGAACTGTGTACAGGCCATTCTATTAAACAAAAGAGAATTTGCCCAGTGTTTTCACTTCATGGGTGATTCATTGTGCTGTCTGAAAAATCCATCTTATTTTTCTTTTTTTTTTTTTTTTTCCTTAACCAGCAAAGCAAAATAGGAGCAGAGCATTGGTACTTATTGACATAGATCTACATCTATCTATATATATAAAAAGAAGTTCACAAAAGTATCTGGACACCTTAGTTCATCCTTAGAAAGACAGAAATAATTCAGCAGCTTTAAAATAATAATTTCAAAAAGGAACTTTGCCAACCAACCACATAAACTCTTTTCATCCTCTCCTCCCTTTGGCGAGAATGTAAATTCAACCTTGCAAAAAGCCCTTACCAGAGAGGTCTCTTGCAATATTCCTTGATGGTTAACCAGTTTAGGACTTTTGGGACTAATTATCTAAAAAGACAGCTTTTTAGGCAGTCCACATTCTTACACATTGACTGTGTACTGTAATTATATTACAAAGTATATATTTGTGTGTGCATGCACCTATTTATAGGCATTTCTCCCATGTACATGAACGTCCCTTTATATAACCAGTTGGATTTGGGTATTTTCAATAAACCCAGCCATAGATGATAAAATTATCTTTCCTTGCAGAAGCCTTAATGCTCAGTAAGGTTCCCTGTCCATGCCCACAACCAGATGTGCTGAGTGGGTGGGTCACAGAGCATCATCCCTCATTCCTGGCCAGATGTTCTCATTAACTCACCCCTAGTTAGAGATATCTTGGCAAGCACTGATATGCATTGCAGGCAGAGTTCAAAAACACTGGGAATGAGGACAGAGGAAGGGGCAGAGGTGGAGCCATAGAAAATCTCCAGCATGTTGAAAGCTGAATTAAGTCTTTTATCTTTTCCTTCCCACTGCTGAAATGTGAATATGATCCTGGTCGTGACATGAAAAAGTAAGTTCGTTCCACTTGAATGTTTTTAAATAGGAACATGGTTTACAGAACTGTCTGTGCATGCTGTGCAATGCACTCTCACTGCTCAGCCTTGACAGACAATCTGCAGAACGTGCTGGGGACACCTTGGACCTCCCTGAAATGTTTCCTCATCTCCTCAGTATATTCCTCCATTTCCTCAGCAAAAGATATCTAGGGAACACCCACTTTTAATCACAGACAGAGTAGATCACTAATAATTAAGAAGTCTCATGGTTTCTTGTGAGGTAGATAAACCCCTCATGTTATCATTTAAAAGAGACTAAGCCAGATTTTCTCAGCTTGATTGACCACTGAGGTAACAATACCTGCCCAAAACGAAATCTAAGTCCCAGTTTTGGCTCAAGAGAGTAAGTAGATGCAAGAGGGAAGCAATGAAAGAACTACAAAAAAAACTCAGAAGTTCTGTTTTCCAGTCCTACAGCACTGAAACTACTGGGGGAAAAGACAGGGAAGCTGATTAAACCAAAGGCTTTTAAAGCAATATTCAGATATGAACAAAAGCCTAATGATTAGCAGTAATTCAGCTGATTTTGGCTAGAAACGAGGTGAATGAATACCTTTAATTTACAATTTATGTATTTAGTGGATACACATTTGCACACAAATGTCCACTGGTAGCCCAAAGTTGGTAGGTGGTGTGTGAATCCAGTGGTCCAAGCCCTGGTTCTAGATGGTCATCTCTCTGATTTACAGAGAACAGAAACACCCCTGAACTCCATAGTTTTGGCACTGCTGTGGACCAGGAATGTCTTTTGATGTGAATGGAGCAGCACTTCAGTAAAATCCATACTGGGGCCTCTTGCTGAAGTTACTACTGACTACATCTGGAATTTGTTCTGCATTTAGAGGTCAAAACTGGAATCCAAAAGCTAAGTACTAAACTGCATAATTAGTCATTTAGACCAAGTGACCTGATTCTTACTCATGCCAGGCAACTTCATCTTCCATTGGGAATTAATTTCCCAGAGGAAGGTAAACTGCCTTGAGGTTAGTGTTGAAGATCATGCCCATGACACATAACTAGAGTACTAATTCCATCAAACTTTGTCTGAGATCAAAGTACACTTAAAAAAATAAATTATAACCACCAGCTAACTCTTGTTCATAAAGAAGAAATTAAATTCTTGTAGTGAAAGGGGGGAAGAATGAGCAAAAGAAATAGTAATTAAGACAATGTGAGAAGTATTTTAAAATGACACAAACTGTGATTCCTCTCTCTAAGTTTGTGGGAGATATACAGTCACCACTTGGTTTTTCAAAACCACTCATTGCTGACCTCTGAGTCTTTACTTCCTCTGCACAAACTGAGAGCAAGGCAGCAATATCAAGGTAGGCAAAGACATGAACACACTGAAATCCCGTGCATGGACTAAAGCCTTAGAGTGCAGTGCAAACACCTCCCTACACCACTCCATTTTCTAGAACAAGGAATAGAGTTGTTTTTTTTTCCCCAAGGCTGATCATTTCCAAATGATCTGTAGACCCAGCAAAACATTTTATGTCATTCTACAGCCCTTCACAGAGCTCAGGGCACCACATGCCTGGGAGGAACATCCCCAAGCCTTTCCAACTCTGCCTGCAGTTCCAGGGAGCCTTTGCATGATCCTTCCTGAGAATCTCCTCGAGACCCCACAGCTCCCACTGCTCCCATTCAACAGCCGTAGCTGCCACTTTCCCTGTGTGAATACCGTGCATACCCACAGCCTTCAGAAGCTCAAACAAAGCCAGAAACAATTACAAGCCAAAACCCAACCCACCAACCTACTTTTGCTGCCCTGGAGAACAATTAGGTAGCACAGGTTATGCGTGCAAGGAAGCATTTGGATCCCAAGAGGGAAAGTTTCCAAAGGTAACACTTTGGCCATTTACAGATGAAAAAGTTCCCTGGAGGTGTGCAGAAGATTTCTGCAGCCACAATGAAATGGTTATTAACACCATTCTCCTGCTGCATTATGGGCAATGGCTGTAAAAGCAAATTTGGCTTTTACAAGGGAACAGAGACACCTTTTCCAACATATTAAATGTCCTGTGGCAGCTAGGAGAGCCATACACTGTGATTAAGACCGTTACATCTGAGCTTGTGACAAAGAATATTCTGCTAACTCTTTAGAAACACCTGCAGAAACCAGTTACACTTTCTTGCATTCAAAACAAAACACTGGGGAGTTATATCAAGTATAGTTCCATATTTCCCCTAATGGCTATTCCTTTTCCTGAAGGCAAAGAAAGAGATTCTCGATCTCACAATAATGTAATCAGAAATTATGCCAGTCAAATCAACTGATTAGCACTAGGGCAAAGCTGATGGAACTGAAACCAGATTCATGGCAGCACAAGATGTGCTTAAGTTGGTCCTACAAAAAAAAATTTCTCTCATCACATTATCCTTATTGATCAGACATTTTAATAGTAGTCCAAAAGTCCACACTACTTTTACCAGGTTGTAATCAAATTCTCCTACCTCCTGTACCTTCACTTTTATGGCCAGAAACTGAAAACCTCTGTACAAATATTTTGCTGGTATATCAATACCTCAGTTTTATGATACTCTCCCATTTAATTTTTAAGAAAAGAATGCAACTAGGAATTGTGTTAGTGGTTATTTGAGAAACAAGAAATGGATATTCAGTTCCTTCTGAGTGCTATTAGCCCATCCTGAGAAAAGTCTCCACTTCTAAATGTTATTTTTTCTGTCTTTATAAAACAAAAGAGTTCCTCTCAGACGCTCTTCTCTTTCTGTAAATGGCATGAGAACAGCTGATATGTCTCACATTTGCTCAGGGTTAGTTGTGTTCATGTCCACAAAATGTCTGGATGCCAGCAGAGTCCTGTCCAGCAGCAGTCCCTGGTGCTGCCCATGGCCTGGCACCCAGTGAAGCACTGAAGAGCAGCAAAGCCTGATTCAGATCAGATGAAGCTTCCAGGCTGTGTGACTCCCCATTATCTGTCATTTTCAATGTCATGTTGCATCGCTACACTTTAAAATGTGGCCTCTCCTTTTCTGACAGCTCTCTAAGTTTTGCTACAGGCTATTTCACTCAGACCTCCCAGACTCAGTCTTTGCTGAGTTCACTGAACAAGACAGCCATCAAAAAGGTCTTCTCCTAAAGCCATCTCTATGTGTTTGCCATGGGACTCACAGCATCTCTCAGCGTTTCCCCTGCGGCTGTCTGGGGGACATCCGACCTTTTGTTGATCTATCAGCAAATCAGATTCTTTATAAAACCAGCTGAAGTGCTGGCAGTACAAAGGAAGGCATTCAGAAGACCTTCTCTTTTACATTTTCGTGAAGATGTGTTATTTGTTCCGCCTTTTCTTGGGAGATAACTTCCAAACTTTACTGTGCTCAGACAAGACGTGGTGTGCTACAGGTGCTGCCTCCAAGCCTGTGGGAGTGAAAGCAGGCGGCCAGCAAGCAGAGATTGGCACTTCCAAGGAACAGAAGCTTTTTCCTGGCAGCCCAGCAGCTGGGGTTCACAATTCTGGAATGGGGTGAGGTGAGAAGCAGGGGCCCCCAGTTATTCCCAAAGCCCAGAGCAGACAAACACAACACAAACCTGCATGGGCAGAGCTGGTTCATTGTATTCAATGCTGCTGTTTCCATGGGAAAAGTGCCCAAATGACAAAGTGGATGGAGAGGGATGTGTTGAGGCTCCAGCTAAAGATGTATCCAGCTGGGGTCACC